TCAGATACAGTGGTGATGGGGAGCACTGTGATTATTATTCCCTCCCTCCTGGCAAGAAACATAGGGCTGTATCCTAATTTATGATGTGCTATTTGCAATGGCTTAGCATGGCTGTCAAGCATCGAACATCCTCCCCTCATCTCTACTATGACAGGCAGAGCAGAGGGGGAAATACGCTGTGCTTCATTCACTGCAGTCCAAAGCAGTTCCTGAGAAAAAGCAGTATCAAGAAGTAGACCAGCACATAAACGAGCAAAACACAAGGCTTGGAGCAGGGCTCCTAGATTAGTCTGTTAATATAAGTAGTAGAACAATATATATGTAGTCACTTCAGAAACAGCAACCTGTGCATGCTAGATGAATACCAATACTAGCACTAATAGTAGTAGTACTAATACCACTTTGGGGCTCACTAGCAGTGACCCGTGAAAGGTAAGACTTGCCATTCTCTGGCCACATCCTGGAATAACATCTCTTGTACCCCTAGCTGTGACGTTAACACTGATACCATCTCAGTACTTTATCCAGTACTGCAAAAGGTCTACTCCAGATCCCACAAAAGGGTAGACAGAACGCCAAGACCAGACTTTGCATCCACAGCACCATTCATCAAAACAAACAAAAAAATCCACACAACACCTTTAAGGTTTTTATTTCTGAATAATTTTTTAATTTTCTTAGAAATTACAAAGAAACTCTCTCCAGGAGAGCAAGGAAAAAAAAACAACCCTGAAATATTTCCAAGCAATTTTGTTCCATATAAACACAAACAAAGTTACATATTTTATTCACATGCATGTACAAAAACATTTAAAGTAAAACATCCTTCACACATAATATGTGCATTAGTCTCAGAATTGAGCACATAATCAGATTGGCCTCAGCTACCCTACCTAATCTTATGTTCCTGTTTTCTTTTTAAATTGTAAATTTCTATGCTGGAAACATCTCTATTTCTGCACAGCATTATGCATATTCAAATTAATATGCATGGCCTTGGAATTAAATCACCAGGTAGCACAGTCTGACATACAGCTGTATACTAAAATTGATACACTGCTATTCATACAGTGAACTTTGTTGGATACCACGCAAAGCTCTTCAAAAGGAATAAAAAGGTATTGCTAGAGGCAAAAGGGAATATGACACACAGCACTCTCAACTACAATCCTGTATGATTCCCATGCAAAACACTTCAAAAGCCAAGTAATTCACAGATCTTGCTCTCCAAATTGATATCAAAGCTCCCACCAATCTGCCATCTGCCCACCTTTGGAAAGAGAAGGGAGAACAATGAGAGAACCAACAAAACCGCAGTCTGCTGAAGCAGGTGGTTAAGCAGCACGCTTTACCAGCGACCAGAAAAAACCACAACTGCAAGAGCTGAGCTTCATTCCAGCTCACTGCATAATCTAACTGTAGCCTGAAATCTGGGGATTACATGGTCAATGAACTCCTCACTAGTTACCTAAGGCTGCATTAACACCTACCAAAATCTTATCTGATTCACCAAAAAAGCATATTGTCTGTATCTGACTTCATGAGCTAGCTTTGATATTTCACTATTTCATACAGGATGAACACCACTGTAAATCTAAGGACTGGAAATGTTCAGCAG